AACAGAGATGCAGACAAAGGACACATGAGGGCGCTAAGAGAACACAAAAGGGAATCCAGAGAGGGATGGAGAAACATTAGGAGACACATGGGGAAAGATGCAGACAAAGGACACATGAGGGCGCCATGAGAGCACAAAAGGAGAACCTAGAGTGGGAACTGGAGGGGCTGGGGAACAAAGGGACACAGAACAAGACATAACCAAGTGAGGCCTGCGGGACTTTAGATGTTACAGATTCATTAGTTTCAAAATTTTCAAAAGAACAAGGCATGCTGTGTTGCTTTTTGAGATCTGTAAGTCTAATGTAGTTGTAAGGCCTGACTCGAGCTGAGCTGAACCGGAGCCAGAGTTCGGTATGTAACGACGCTACAGTAGCGTGTTTTTAACTCCAAGCGCGGAGTGACTGACGCCGGGCAGATTGACATGCGGTTTGTTCTAGGAGTCAAACCGTATAATGACTGGAGAGCACAGCAGCTCCAAAAGGTACCAAGCTGACTTACTGTGAGTCGGCAGGGTGAGTAGCATGGGCTGATCTGGTCAGAACGGGCTGAGTGATCGGGTTGGATCTGGTCAGAACTCGGAGCACAGTTCGGTTAGAACGATGACTGAGTGGTTTGGCGTTGAGCTGTACTTCCTTATGTAGATGTGGCGGGTGACGTGGGCTGGAAGACTGGCACTGGGAATGCTGGGTAGTGGAGTTCGGTTGGCCTGAGTGAGTGTGTGGTCCTCCCCCGGAGGAAGTCGAGGGTTGTGAAGGAGGCAGCGTGACAGGACCCCCCACCGGAGGGACGGCCCCAGAAGTCCCAGGGCGGCGGGCCCAGATGTCCGAGATGAGCGAGGGGTCCATGATTGCACTCGTCGGCTCCCAGGAGCGTTCCCCCGGGCCGTAGTCCGCCCAATCCACTAGGTACTGCCAACCTCTGCCACGGTGAAGGGCGTCCAGCAGGCGCCGCACAGTGAAAAGCCCATCCTTGCCAACCCCTCGAGGCGGAGGCTCGGGATCCGGAGGAGGAGCGAGGAGAGAAGTCCGTACTGGTCTTAGCTGGGACACATGGAAGACGGGATGGACCTTGAGAGGCCTGGGCAGGCAGATACGATAAGCCATCGGGTTAATGACCCTCTCCACAGGGTAGGGCCCCAAAAATCGTGTAGCGAGCTTCCGGGAGCCAGCGGGTAGGCGCATGTTCCGGGTAGACACCCATACCTTGTCTCCAGGTTGAAAAGTTGGCCCAGTCCGGTGGCGGTGTTTGTGCTGGCGATAGTATTCTGTGTTAGCTCGCTTGATGGCTGCCCGAGCACGGACCCAGGCGAGGCGGCAACGCCGGACCAGGGTCTGGGCTGCAGGGACCTCAGTCTCAGGTTCCTGGTGGTGGAAGAGAGGGGGCTGGTATCTGTAACATAACTCAAACGGGGAGAGACCAGTGGCCGAGGAGACGTGGAGATTGTGGGACATCTCCGCCCACAAGAGGTATTTGGGCCAAGTGGTTGGTTGTGAGGCGAAGCAGTGGAGGTACCGACCAAGTTGCTGATTTGCACACTCAGTCTGCCCATTAGTTTGGGGGTGGTAGCCAGAGGAGAGACTACTACTGGCACCAACCAGCCGACAGAAAGCCTTCCAGAATCTTGACATAAACTGGGGTCCCCGATCTGAGACAATGTCCTGAGGAAACCCATGGAATACACCGCTGTATTTCCAAAAGGATGGCGGATCAGAAGCCGGCAGCTACTTTGGGGACAATTTTCAAGTTAAACGTAACTCAACCATTTTAAAATGTTTTTTTTAGATCCAAATAAGTTAACTATTGTTGGTTAGTTGCTTATTAGTTGCAGCTTTGGTGGGTAGCGGGTAGTAACTCACTTATATTTTTAATTTAATAAACATATACACAATTTAAAAAGTAATAAGCTTGTTATATATTTATATTGAAACTAAGACGTATAAAATATAACGTTACCTGCCGTGTCACGTGACGTTACGTGACCGTCGTGGAAGCTGCGGTCATGTGATGCAAGTCTGTTCTATTTAACCGTTTTCTTTGACAAAGGAAGGACAGTATCCTCGTAAACAAGGCGCCTGACCTCTCAAGACATCGCCTGAAAAGGCCAGGTGCCTTCACATTGAGAAACACCCTTGGTGATAGTGATTTGCAACATGGCTGAACATATTCTGTTAGCCAATCAGAAGTGAGGTGTGTGCATATCATTAATAATGAGTAATTCTGCTGTTTTCAGCCCACCACTGCACCAGCAAACTTCTGCATCTCAGTCCAGGAGCATCAATAAAACTTTTTTTAAATGACTCATAAATGATGACTTAAAGAAGGGAACACTGCAAATGAATTGATAAACGAGTAAACCACACCTTTAAGTCTCGTCCAAGGGATCTCTCTCAGTTCAAAGAGAAAAGCAGAGTACCAAGCTTATAAACTCTAGAAAATCTTCAACAATGCAAACTAAATTGCTCCCCCTGTCCTCCCTTCTTAGGGTCTTTGTTCTGGCTTACAAATGAGACATTAGATCACGTGTGTGAAGGTGTGGATTGCTGTGTAACTGTCTGGGGATAGGATGTAGGGCAGCATTGTGAAAACTGGAAAGTTGAAAATGCAGCCCTCCTATTTAGTGTCATAAAAAGATGACTTATTTAGTCCTCTCAAAACCTCAATGTTCTCTGTCCAAATCAAGTCTCTTTTCTACAGAAGCAGACATCAGAGTTCAGACCTGAGCAGATGCTTCTCCGTTCTTGAAACATGTGAGTAGTTTGTATTTGTTTAGTTGTCAGCGGACTTCTGAGGACACGCAAACTTTTTGATGTGTGATGCCATAGCTCTTTTACTGACTCACAAAGGAAGGTTTCTGCACAAGCCACAAACATAAGGATAGAGAGAAATGTGTATTCCTTACCAGTTATCACAAGATGAAGGTCATTAGGAATAGAGTGAGTGGGTTTATGTGATTCAGCACTAGCTATGTGCTCTGAATCACATCAGATTAGTCTCTGCAACTGTTTTCCTCCTTGGGCAAGCTAGTTAGTTTACATGTACATGGTCAGAGTTTGTAGGTAAGTGCAACACAGAGATGGACTTGCGTCGACCAAGTGCTTTAGGCAAACGAGTTCTCTCAAATACGTTGATTTCTGATGTAGCAGAGGGCACCCCAACTACTGAGCTAGTGGAAAACGAACCGAGGCCTCACCCGATGTTACCTTATTGGTGTTTGGGAAGATGTCTGTCAGCTTTGACTCATAAAAACACAAAAGAGTTCAAATTGTTCACAGATGGCTCAGGGAGAAAAACATCTTCCTGTGTTTTCTTCTAATAAGCCCGCCCCCAAGAAAATCTAACCAATCAGCAGACAACATGTTCTCACGTGGTTACCCATTATATCTTGTTTGCCATTTTCTGTTTAGTAAATGCTCAATCTTCATATAATCACTCCAGTTTGATAATCATGGTTTGGTGAAAGCGTCCTTGACTTGATCTTTACAACCTTTAATGAGGTGTTTTCTTCAACTTTAGTTGCTTTTATTTAGAATTTTCACATTTTTAACTTTTCACAACATCTAAAAATTGCTTTAAATGTACAATAAAAATAAACTTAACTGGTTGGCTGATCATGGATTCTTTGTAGAATTTGAATGTTTGATAGGTAAGGCAAATTTTGATGAATGTCATTTGGAGTCTGTGACAAACAATGATCATGACTTTGTTTTGTTTCTGCAGAAAGGCTTGTGTTCCTTTCACTTACAAGAACGAGGAGTCCCTCTAATGAATAGAATGTGTTCTTAAAGTCTTCTCTCTGCAGCACAATTGAATTACCCCCACCCCCACTCCTTTCCTGACGGAATCATCATCTCCTCTCCCTGGGGGCACCTTGGCTGCTGACAGACCTGCACTCTAGCAACGAGTGAGTTCAGCACCACGGACAGCTCCAAACATCTGCTGCTGCAAACAAGCAGGTCTCGAGCCTCCTTCAGAGGCAGCAGTGTGTGCCTTTGGAGTGCTTCCGGAGATGCTAGCAGCTACAGGGTTTGGGGATGCTGCTACGCCCCTCAAACACAACACCACCTCATCATCGGGGGCACGACCACTGCAAATGCACTGAGAAACGCTGCTATTAACTTAGTCAACTGTAGGCTCGGATGCATTTCAGCTAGAGAGCATCTGATGAATGATTAAAGGACCACATGCACCTAATCCCATGTAGAAAGCGGGATGCTCCTCCTCCTCGCTGCTGCTGCTGGTTTGTCAGAGAAAACAATGACGGTAGAGATGGCTCCTCTCTCTGCTGTGACAACCAATTACATAACGTCGGAGCGGAGCGCTCTCATTAACATTCGCGTCCATTTCACTCTCAAACACATAGAGGAAGGTGGTTTATCCACATATTTGCTCCTATAAAAGCCACCCAGAGCACAACACGTTAACTATTTCACACGATTTGTTCGATGAAGTTCAGATCCATGGTGCTGTTTGGCCTTTTGACGCATGGGAGAGGAATAGAAAATATCAGTCGTTTCTCAGCCTTGTCACCATCGCCATTTCGCATAAAAACGTCGTAAAGCTGCGCAATTTGCGCACTATCAGTCTGAAAAGATTGAATAATTTTAATCTGAGGTGAAAATAGCATAAACAGACAAGTTGGGTGTTATTTGAAAGAGCTGCAGAGTGAAAACAAAAGGAAAAGAGGACAAGAGGAGGTTAAAACCAAACTAAACAACTCTATCACTTGGAAACAAATCGTGCAGTTTAATTCAAGGTGACGGGAGATGGCTCTTCTACACCCTTGGCGAATGCAAACGACGGCACATCATGTAAAATGACGCATGAATAATCACAAACTGCAAACGTGCAACTATAGTAGCTCAGGTGATGTGCATCAGCACATAATGATGTACACTTATCTTCTCATCTTTGCTAAGAATGGATCTAGGCTCCTTATACTGTATGTCCATCAGCGAAGAGCAGACACAAACGCTCACACATCGAGATGGATGAACTCACCAAAGACGCTGCTTGTGGTGCTGCGGCGCCCGACAGCCTCTGCAGCAAATTTAGACCGTGTTTCCCCTTTTTGCGGGAACAGAAGGTGACCCTGCGTTCTCTGCAAGACTCTGCATCCACGAGATCACGATGCACGCAGCAAGGAGGAGCTCGCTGGTGAGGGGGTGGGGGGTTGGGATGGCCCAGCTGTCAATGGACGACGGAAATAGGCTGCAGAGAAACGAATGAGCTAATAAAACTCCAAAAGGAGGTGTATGTTTCGACCCCACCTCCTAACAACAAAGAAAACTGAGCATCTTTTTCTTTTCATTCTGAAAATGCAGTTAGTTGTTTTTGTTCCCAAGGCTTTCATAGGTGTAAACATGCTATTTTAAAATAACCTCTTAAAATACCCATGTTCAAAAGATGGGGAGAACCCCAGGTGTGCCTTCCACTCTCCAACCAATGAGGAGCGCACTTTGAGAGGAAGCGGTCCTGCCTAATCTGTTAGGCCCCGCCCACATCTCACTAACCAGCCCAAGTGGGGGAGGTAAAGAGGGGAGGTATTTTTTGTTTGGCTGCTAAACTGACCCATCCTTTCCCATGCACACAAAAACTCTGCTCATTTGGTGATTTTCATGGTTGCACATTTTGTGCTAATTTTCTTTCTCCAGTTTTCAGCAAAGAACAAAGAATTTGGTAAAAGAGCAATGTCAGCGGTAAAACTGGCCGACACAGACAAAAAACTCCGATACATATTTTAGGACATTTTGTGAAGTCTGTGAGGTGTTTAATCCCCACATTTGCTGACAAATAAACAACTGCCCAAACACACATTACCTCCTGGATTTAGGTTAGCCTGACATTTCTCTAAACAGGTTATATTTTACGTTTTCATTGACTCTCATTCTTTATTACTTTTGCTCAACTAATTTCATCTGCAAAGCCATGCATGCATCATACTCATTCACATATGTGTGCACAAAGTCCTAACATCAGTCTTTTATCAATTATACTCAAAATATTTTGCCATTTTATATAAACTACTAAGGGCTGTACTGTTGCCTGACAGTAAGAAAGTTCTGGGTTCAAATCCCAACCTGGGCCATCCTGCATGGAGTTTGCATGTTCTCCCTGTGCATGCGTGGGCTCTCTCTAGGTATTCCGGCTTCCTCCCACAGTCCAAAAACATGACTGTCAAGTTGATTGGTTTCCATAAATTGTCCTTAGGTGTGTGTGTGTGTGTGTGTGTGTGTGTGTGTGTGTGTGTGTGTGTGTGTGTGTGTGTGTGTGTGTGTGTGTGTGTGTGTGTGTGTGTGTGTGTGTGTGTGTGTGCATGGTTGTTTATCCTGTGTGTCTCTGTGTTGACCTGTGATGGACTGGTGACCAGTCCAGGGTGTGCCCTGCCTGTTTGCGTGGAGATTTCTAGAGATAGGCACCAGCCACCCGCAAACCTGGGTTTGAAAAATGAATGGATGGATATAAACTGCTAAATTTTAATTTATAATTCTCTGCAAACTACATCTAACTCAAGCCTTTGCATAATATTTTGAAAATAGGGACTATGGAGGGACTATGTGGAAGAATGATGTTTCTTGGCAGGCAAGAGAACACCTTGGGATTTCCCCAGAGGGGCTGGCCAAAATGGCTGGGGAGAGGGAAGTCTGAGCCTTGCTGCTTAGGCTGCTGCCCCCATGGCTCAACCCTGGATAAGTGGACAATAATGGATGGAAGTCTGAATTTAGAAAATAGCATTGTACTGAAACTAATAAAGTTCAGTTGTTCTCTCTATCCCCTTGCTTTGGAGGTAGGACGCCACCTGTTGCTCCACCGAGCGGGTCTCCTCGTCACTGGGCTCCCCGACGTTCCCGGCCACCACGCTCGTACAAGCGCGGCTTGATTTTAATACCGCTGATGACCACGTCGTTCGTACGAGTGTACTGCTCAAGCTCATCCACCCGCCGCTCGAGATCCATGATTTGTCTGTCCTTCTCGGTATTTTGGAGGCGTAGCTGTTTTACCTCCTCCAGAAACCCCATGAAGCAGCTCCTGCTGTGCCCTGACTGCGTCCACGTCTCTGCACAGCGCTCCGAGGGAGGTTTTGATGTCCTCTACCTCCTCTGGTGTTGGGCCTTTCTTGGGTGGCATACTGTCTTTAGTTTGTGTTCTTCATGAAACTCCGATAAAATATTTATCTTTAACCAGCCTTTCCAGTCCAGGGGTCCTTTCTTCTTTTAATTACTGTTTCTGTTCAGGTGTTGATTAGTTTAGTCCGAATTTAGTCCAAGTTTTAGATTAAATTGTTTCGATCGACTCACACCAGCACAGCTTGTCCAGCGGCCATCGACTCGTTCTCATTTTACTTCTCTGAAATATAATGTTGGTCTAAACCAGATGACATCAAATACCGTTGAATTATCACAAGGAGCACCACAAGGTTTCGTATTGGGCCCAGTCCACTTCTCATTGCACATTCTATCCATTATGAACACATTTGTTAACATCTTCTACATGAATGCTGATGGCAGGCAGTTGTTTTAAGATGGTCAGAATAACTTCCTTACCTGGCAGAAAATGGGTATTCATTAAAAAGCAAGAAAATCACCCTTCACGTAATTTTGATGGAAGGGGGTTTCGTCTCACCAGACAACGTGTTTCCACAAAAAGGCAAAAATAATTGTCTGTTTTGCATCAGGTTAAACCCAAGTAAATGGAGATTATATGTTCTTGATTTTTGTTCATTTTTATTTGCTATTTTTATTTTATTGTTTCCTATTTTATTGTGAAACACTTGCTGTTCTGCAAAATATTACGACTTGTGATTTATTTAGTTTTAGTTGTGAGTGAAGCATTCTGTTTACAGTACACCAAATAAAATGGGGGAACAAGAGTTTCCCAGAAATGTCTTTTTTGTTGACTCACTCTTGTTTGGTGACATCTAGTGACAAATTACTATTATTACACCCTGTATTCATTCTACAACATTTTACAAAACAAAATGGCAAAAAAACAAAAAACAAACAAAAAAAAAAAACACGTTGATTTTTCAGAAATTACCATAACATCATAAAAATGTGCATCTCAGGTTTTCTATTCTGGCTTTATTTTGTTTGGGCATTTTTCAAAGTGAAATGAACAATTTTAAGTAGGTCACATAAAGATAGCATAAATTGGAGCGACTCCAGCTGCCACAGTGATTTCGTTTATCTGCCAGTCTTTTATCTTTGCAATTTATCTAAAATTATTAAATCCTATTTTCAGGCTTGAATGTAAAATTGTATCTGTTCCAGGACCACAACTTTTCTCTTAGCTAACCAACAAGCTAATTTGATTTGTTGATTTCAGACAGAGGGCTTGCAAATAGAGGAGCAGAAGATGGCAATTTTGAGAAAATCTATTTTCTGGTAAAGGCAACCACAAAAGGAAAACCTTACAAATGAAAAAAAATGTCTCCAGAATGAGCTTCTGGCTTAATTGGTTAGGGAGACACTTGATTTCAGTCTAGTTGCTAACATATCAATCACAATGAGTCATTTTGAAAACGTGTACAACTTTATTTTTACACATTTTGGGAGAATAAAATGATTTTATGATCTTACAATAAGGGGCTTTCATCAGTTTTTATTCAGGTTCAAGTAAAAGTGACCCCCACTTGTAATTAACGTTTCATTCCTCTTAAAAAAACAGGCATGTGTTCATCAGCAATGCTGAAAATAATGATTTAGTGAACGTCTCGTTTCATACTGTTACTGATGGAGTAAAAATTAACAAATTGCTTTTCATAAATAAAGTTGATGTGATTTATGAAGTGGTTTATGAAATAAAGTTCATGTGTCAAGATTTAGGTTTCTATACAGGTCATCCTCCCGAAAAACTTCTTCACAAATTAAATTTCATTTATCACTCGTCACTGGTGCCCCTTTCACTACTCATCATTGTGATCTGTACTCACTCAATAACTGGCCATCACTCCATTCTTCCAGGTTGGTACATTGGTATCAATTTATATACAAAACAATCATCGGTAGAACATCGCCATATCTTTGATCATTACTCATCACTTCCAACAACCAGCACAATTTATATTCCAGTAACTTAATCTCTATGGTCATTCCCAAAGCTCGCACCTCCTTTGGCCGCTCCTCGTTCCAGTTTGCTGCTTCCAATGACTGGAATGAGCTGCAAAAATCACTGAAGCTTACCACCTACATTCCATTATCTACCTTCAATAGTTCACTACAATCAATAGTTCCTGATGAATGTGCCTGTTTCTGATTGTTTTAAATCAAAATCCCAGTTAAATTTAAATTGTATGTTCTCCAGCAGTCTAAGCCTACAGCAGCATAACTACAGAGATAACTCTGGATAACCTAGCCTTTTAGAAGGAGGCATGTTGGAGGCAGGGCAAGGGAGAGCCGTCTTTACCGACTGTACACTACACCTCCCTCTACTCCCCCACTTGTCCAGATCTGGGCTAACATCAGATTTTAACCATAGTCCCATCCATCCATCCATTTTCATCCACTTATCTGGAGTCGGGTCGCGGGGGCAGTAGCCTAAGGAGAGAGGCCCAGACTTCCCTCTCCCCAGCCACTTGGGCCAGCTCCTCTGGGGGAATCCCAAGGTGTTCCATGGCCAGGTGAGAGACATAGTCCCTCCACCGTGTCCTGGGTCTACCTTTAGGTCTCCTCCCGGTTGGACATGCCCGGAAAACCTCACCAGGGAGGCGTCCAGGAGAAATCCTGACGAGATGCCCGAGCCACCTCAACTGGCTCCTCTCAATGTGGAGGAGCAGCGGGTCTACTCCGAGCCCCTCCAGAATGACTGAGCTTCTCACCCTATCTCTAAGGGAGAGCCCAGTCACTCTTTGGAGAAAACTCATTTCGGCCACTTGTATCCGCAATCTCGTTCTTTTGGTCACTACCCAAAGCTCATGACCATAGGTGAGGGCAGGAACGTGGATCGAACTTCTGACTCAACTCTCTCTTCACCACGACAGACCGGTACAACGCCCGCATCACTGCAGATGCAGCACCAATCCACCTATCGATCTCAAGCTCCAGTTTTCCGTCACTTGTGAACAAGACCCCGAGATACTTAAACTCCTCCACTTGGGGCAGGACCTCATCCCTGACCCGGAGAAGGCATTCTACCCTTTTCCGAATCAAGACCATGGTCTCAGATTTAGAGGAGCTGATTCTCATCCCAGCTGCTTCACACTCGGCTGCGAACCGCTCCAGTGAAAGCTGAAGATCACATTCTGATGAAGCCAACAGGACCACATCATCTGCAAAAAGCAGAGACCTGATCCTCAGGCCACCAAAACGGATGCCCTCCACACCTTGGCTGCACCTAGAAATCCTGTCCATAATGGTTATGAACAGAATCGGTGACAAAGGGCAGCCTTGGCGGAGTCCAACTCTCACTGGGAACGAGCCCGACTTACTGCCGGCAACGCGGACCAAACTCTGACACCGGTCATACAGGGAACAGCCTGTATCAGAGGGCCTGGTACCCCATACTCCCGGAGTACCCCCCACAGTACCCCCCACAGAGCCCCCCGAGGGACACGGTCAAACGCCTTCTCCAAATCCACAAAACACATGTAGACTGGTTGGGCAAATTCCCACACACCCTCCAGGATCCCCCTAAGGGTAAAGAGCTGGTCCAGTGTTCCACGGCCAGGACAAAAACCACATTGCTCCTCCTGAATCTGAGGTTCAACAATCCGACGGACCATCCTCTCCAGAACCCCTGAATAGACCTTACCAGGAAGGCTCAGAAGTGTGATGCCCCATAGCTGGAACACACCCTGCAGCCCTCCCTTTTAAATAAGGGGACCACCACCCCGGTCTGCCAGTCCAGTGGGACTGCCCCCGATGTCCACACGATATTGCAGAGCCACGTCAGCCAACACAGCCCTACAACATCCAGAGCCTTAAGGAACTCCGGGTGGATCTCATCCACCCCTGGAGCCTTGCCACAGAGGAGCTTTTTAACCACCTCAGTGACCTCAGCACCAGAGATTTGAGAGGCCAACCCAAAGTCCCCAAACTCTGCTTCCTCACTGGAAGACGTGTCGGTGGGATTGAAGAGGTCTTTGAAATATTCTGCCCACCGATCCACAACGTCCTGAGTAGAGATCAGCAGCACACCGTCCCCACTATAGATAGTGTTGGTAGCGCACTGCTCCCCCCCCCCCGAGGCGCTGGGTGGTGGACCAGAATCTCCTCTAAGCCGTACGGAAGTCTTGCTCCATGGTCTCACCGAACTCCTCTCATGCCCGGGTTTTTGCCTTGGCGACCACCCGAGCCGCATTCCGCTTGGACTGCCAGTACCCGTCAGCTGCCTCTGGAGTCCCACAGGGCATAGGCCCTATCAAATAAAAATGTTTTAAGCCTAGTCTTAAAAGTAGACAAGGTGTCTGCCTCACGGACTAAAGCTGGGAGTTGGTTCCACAAGAGAGGAGCCTGATAGCTAAAATATCTTCCTCCCATCCTATTTTTAGATATTCTGGGAACCACCAGTAAACCTGCAGTCTGAGAGCGAAGTGCTTGGTTAGGAACATATGGAACAATCAGATCACTGATGTATGATGGAGCTTGATTATTAAGAGCTTTATATTTGAGAAGGAGGATCTTAAAATCTATTCTGAACTTAACAGGCAGCCAATGTAGGGAAGCTAAGACAGGAGAGATATGATCTCTCTTTTAAATTCTCGTCAGAACTCTAGCTGCAGCATTTTGGACAAGCTGAAGACTTTTAACTACATTCTGTGGACTTCCTGATAGTAATTAATTACAGTAATCCAGTCTTGATGTAATAAATGCTTGAACTAGTTTTTCAGCATCACTCCTGGAAAGATGCTTCTAATCTTAACAATATTCCAAAGGTGGAAAAAGGAAACCCTACAAACCTGTTTAATGTGGGATTTGAATGACATGTCCTGGTCAAAGATAACACCAAGGTTCCTTACTTTGTTCTCTGAGATTATTTTAATGCCATTCAGGTCAGGTGATTAAGCAATTTCTATGTGTCTGTTGCTGCTGCCTCTTGGCTAGATCGTCGTTGTAAATGAGAATAATAAAAAAAAAATCATTGCTTTTATTCTGAAGGATTCTGAGCGGAAATTCCGCTGCTGTTGCGAATGTAGACGGAAGTTGTTTGAACTTTTAGCTGCAGCGGTGAAGCAAACCCTTCATCGAAAAGGAGACAGTTGACCCGGTGAGTCAAAATGTATTTAAACTATAGTAATACGGAGTAAACCAAATGTCTCACGTGCAGACCAATCTTTTTTTTTTTAATTTACGGCACCTTTTCAGCTTTTCTGGGCCGTTATACAAACTGACGGTGCGTGTAGCAATATCTATTAACTTGGCACTGGCAGATAAGTTTAATTTATATCTAATGAGATTCAGTGAAGCTACACGTAGGTATTTGATGTTATATTTGAGGTGGTTTGTACGCTTATACACGACATATTCGTGGCCATGAAACCACACGCACGAGAAGCGGTTTAGCTAACATGGCATGAATTGCGTGGTTTTGTTTACTAGTTTGCGTTTCTTTTTTGTTCTCGTCTAATCTTACGTCACTGCGCGATTGAATGTTTTTAAAAGGAAGGTAACGCGTTTTTAAATGTCGTGTTTCCTCAGATTCGTTGCTGGCTGATTAGGGAAGACAGTGATACCATGTGGGAGTCACATGAACGGCGAGGATGATTTGTAAACAAGAGGGCAGCTTGACAAGCGCGTCTGCCACATGAAGGAGGGGGGTCTCCTGCCTGAACAAATATTTCACTCAAGCAGCCCCCAGCGTTCGTTCCCCTGAACATCAACGATGAACAGCACTACTACTCAGTCCCCTCACGATATAGACAGGAGCAGGACAATCAGCTATGTGCTGGTGCCAATCCTCCTCATAACCATCACTGGAATCGCTGCAGCTGTGGTGAGTCGTTTGTGGGAAATGTGTGGCTTTCATGTCAGTATTTGAGCAATAATTCAACTCTGACAGAACCCAATGCAGCATTATGATTTAAAAAATCACCTTGTGTCTGTTCCAGGTCATGTACATTCGTAAGAGGAGGAGGTGAGAGTTGGCTTGCTGCAGTTGTGATTATCTCCTAAACTCAGTTACTCGATTTAGATCCTCAGCGTGACATACCAAATGAATGATGCATTTTATACTTTTCCCAGAATTGACAGACTACGTCACCAGCTGTTACCAGTTTACACATACGATCCCTCAGAAGAGCTGAATGAAGCGGAACAGGAGATTTTATGGAGAGAGGAGGACACAAGGGTAACTTCCAATAAACCAGTGTTTATTGTTGCCTGACGCTGTATCTTCAGCCCTTGGGACATGCTTTAATTATCAAATCTGATGATAAAAATAGTTGTTTTTCAAAAGCATGTTAGACTGAAAACTCTGCAAAGATATCTCACATAATCTTTTCATTTGTAATTTATTACTGCACGATCATCATTAGTTGCAACACAGAGCTTTTTGTGCAACAGTTCCTCAATTTGTTGGTCTGTTCCTCTTTACACTCGAGCTTTAAGCTGCGAGAAGAAAAATAGAAACTGGAGCAGTTAGTAAAACTACAATATAGTTGTTTTGCAGGGCTAAAGTCTGCCCTGGTTTGGTGAGATGCAAATGTTGCAGACATCGTCTTTCAGTATAGGAGAGGGGGGATCGTTTCCAAGTGGAGCTAGATAAGTAAACAACAATCACAATTGTTTAGTTCCAGGCTCGGCAAAATAAGAGTGTCAAGGACCCTCAGGCACCAGTTTGTGATGCTTTTATAGCTGTAGTTTTGCTTGACCACCTTCAGGAAAACGCTGAGCTCCAGCAGGCTTTGTTTTAAAAAGACCTTTTTCTTGAAGTGTCCTGATAATTTAAAACCTCAAGCATGGCCGAGGTGATTAAAACATGAATGATCATTGCTGCAGCTGTCTCTCAGGAAGAATGTGTAATTCTTTAAATTCCTGATTTGCAACGTTGCATTAAGGGACCAAAAAGTTCTGATAAAAGATTCACTTTGGTCAGCTGCATTTGTTTTGCGCATCTGTTTTTTTCTGCCTCTTAAAATGTGCCTGACCAGAATTCATCTTGCACCTTTGTCTTAAAAATGTTTTATTTTGGAATTTTATTTAATAACATCTTAGAAAAACATCCACTTATATTGGAGAAGTTAGTAAAGAAGTAAAATAAATAGTCTAAATTCAAAGTTTGTTGCTTTTCTACAGAATCTTATAAATACATTTCATTTTTGTACCTCCTCAAAAAAATTGTCATTCAATTTTATTCAGTTGTTCTCATTAAACCTTTTCTCCATTTCTAATGCCCTGCACTTGCTGAGAACAACTCTAGGTGGCAGTGTTGTTCTGAGCTGCTAACAAACTACTTTAAATGGCTGTAGATTTTCCTTGGAGTGTGAAATGTGTTGAAACACAAATATTCAGCATTCTAGAAACTTAGGGCATTTTAAATCTGTGCACTCTGCTTATTTGTGCAGCTTTTCTATGTAATTTCCTGGTTTACACAAAATGACATTCATTCATCCACGCTTTGTACATTTCTAAATTCTTATTTCTAAAGCATACAATAATAGCTTTTATGTCATAACTTAGTCTCCAGCAGCATTATGCATCCTCCTTAGACATGTGTTGGGTGTCAAACTGAACTGCTCTCCTGTGTTTCATGTCTTGTCTCAGATTGTACAAGGCTGGGCAAGAAGTTATCAGCAGCGACAGCCTCTTCTAACCAAAGACGTCAAAGCATGACAACAGTAAACCCTGATACTGTGGAGTAAGGAGACAACCTTCAGTCAGTCTGATTTATCACTTTGTTTTTCTTTCTTCCTGTTGGAATTATCTCTGGGTACATCACTGACAATAAGCCTTTGTTTTTTCCTGCTCTTTGTACGGATTATCTGTTCATTTCTGAAGTTTTGATGCCAACCCTGCGTGCCTACGAGATGGAAGTATTTTTCTTATTTATTCGTAGTTATTTATTCAGACAGAACGTTCACTGCTGGTACTTGAAGACATCAAAGCCCTGAAGATGCAGGCTGCATGTTTACGTTGTTATTGTGAGCGACGTGCGGCGAGCAGCTCTGTTCCTGTCGGTTGCAGTAGGCATTTGTACTGATAAGTGCAGTGTGGTAGAACTACAAGTCTTGTGCACTAGTTAAGAGTTTGCTCTCCTGCCTAGCTTGTGCTGTGGTTTGTTTGCAGTGCATTAGCTGCTTCTTTGATGATTTAGCATTCAGTCACAAAGCCTCGTTTTCATCAGGTGATGATTAGATGCAAATCTCAGATTTAGTTCAATTAATTTCACTTTCATTTGGAGTCAAAAGGCTTCAGGTTCTGAAAGCAGCTGCCTTGGAATGCACATCTCATTTTAGTGGGTCTGCCGAAGGCCTGTGACTAACAATGGCACGAAATCCAAGGATGAGAAGTAAATAACACCAGCTTCTTCCCAGCCCTTAAATGAGTGGTGACTTAAACCCCAAGTATGTTGTGTTCTTAGCATGGCAACCTGAAAAGTGGCTCCAGGCGCCACAGTTCTGATGAATGCCATGTGTCTGACTGCATCAAGCATTCGGAGCGTTGCTTTGTTCAGCTTATGAATGATTAACTATTACCTTTCATTTGGTGAATGTAAACTGGTCAACCTAAACAGTTTGTTTAGAGCCGTTCAACCCAGAACCAACTTTCAGCTTTCCAGGGATTTTATCTGATTCAAAAGGTTTGAAGGTTTTAAGCACTGAAAGCTCATTTTTCAGATTTTATCAAACTACTGATGTATTATTCATTCCAACTTTCTCATGTCATGCTGTAAATAAAACTTTTTCCCATTATTTCAGTTACTGAAACAAGCTACCATGAAAATATGACAAAGAGTTTTCTTTATTGTCCTTTTTTGATACAAATTGTTGGGCACCATAGAAATATAGACATTGTACATTTATATAGGTGTACATTAAAGAATGATGTCATCCTACTGGGATTACAGAACAGAAATCAATGGTTCTGAAGAATGTGTGGATATCGCCAGGATTTAAAATAAAAATGACATGACGAGTTTTATGGTAAGCGTGGCTGTTTTAAGTCCAACATACAACAGATCAGCGAAGAGTCTACACAAACGCATTTTGTCCATGAAAATTTAAACCAACATATCAGTGCACCAGAATGATTTAAAGAAAAAAAACTTGCTAATCTACCAGTCCATGAACTTGGTGGTCAAGCTGATTTACTTCACTGCCATCTCAACATGTCTAAGCTCTGGCTGTGAATGAGCTCAGATGTGAGCGTGCAAAATGTATACACTCAACATCTTGGACACCGTTACAATCGGGTAAAAAAAAAAAAATTGCAATAACATTTTTTCAAATCATGCTAGAGATTACAACGAAAAGAACCAGTTAAATGCAACAATATTATTAAGTGACCGGATTACGTGAGGTATGAATGTCCGGGCATTTGTCGTGCCCGTTTGCAGTTTTCCGGGTTTTGTAACTGAGGTTGTAGCAGCTTAGGTATGTGGAAAATAAACCCAGTTAGGTGAACTGAACAACTTCCCTGACAATAAAAATACACAACTTTCTTTAGCATACAGAGAACACACACTCAGAAGAGTAGGGGGATTTTATTTACCAGTTTGTTACTAAATCAGAAAAAAAACCCAAGCAGTGATCACTAAATGGAATGAAAAATGTACAGCCCTGTTGGATAGTAGTGCCACCAACTATCCACTATTACAATCAAACTCTTTGTTTGACCAATTGCAGTTAGTTTCACAAACTATTGAGTGAGTGCTCACGAAAAGCCGACTGTGAAGACGAGACCAAAATATAACAGCATTTATAAAAAGCTCCCTGAAGAAAACAACACTGATTACGTTCAACCTAAAATTCTTTTAATGCTATCCTTAAAAACATGCCCCCCCCCCCAATAAACAAGTCATAACACGAAAAGCAGCGCACACAGGATTTTGTTTAAATGGTATATCTCCCCTCTACATGCAGAAAGACTGAGAATGTTTGAGAAGCTAAAATCTGATCTGTCCTACAGGAAAACTGTGGCCTCGACTAAGTAGACCTAAAAAATAAAACATGACACCTCTACCGTTAATAACCTACTCATCCTAAACACTGGAGCTCATCTCCATCTAATATAATGCAAAGGATAGGTCAACCTTTCCACCTGAAAACACACACACACACACACACACACAAAATAGGTAAATTTCACCTTTGTCATCCAGTTAAAACAAAAGGAGAGAAATCTATATGGTTTTCAGATTCAACAAATACCACTAAGCAGAGAAAAAGTTCATGAAGCCATTGTTTAGGGGAGAAAAAACAAACACCCAGGCTCCTGAGAGCACATTTTGTCCAGTATGAGAGACTTGACATGTAGGAGGACTGTCACCTGCCTCGTAAATCTAAGCTTGAGCAAGTCCATCTGTTTATATCCAGTGCTGCTGCATGATTTATGTACTGTGTTAACCCGCCTTTGGCTAAAGGCGGGCTTTGTCGTGAACAGTGGTCATGTGGTGGCACTGGCGTTGGAGAAACAGCCCAGTTCTGATTAACAGTAAGTCAGTATGTTGAGTGAGGTAGCGTCCTGTTGAGTTACTGGTCCTCTTCCTCTTCTCCCTCTTCTTCTTCTTCAGATGATTCTTGGGATGCTTTTTCTTCCTTCTCCTGCGACGAGAAAAGCATGAATTAAACTTTGTCTGATCCCTCGTGGATCAACAACTTCTGAGGGTGAGTCATGCCTCGACCTGACCATCTTCTGCTTTTATGAACTCCCAAGCACCAATGTGGAAATGAAAAATGTTTGATGAACCGCTGTGGCATGAAAAGGCACTCAGGGAAACCATGGGTAGTGAAAAGTGATTCATAACCGATGAGTCACAATGAGCCATCCTGCTTTTCCCCTCTGAACACTCACCACTTCAACACGTTCATTCATAAAAAGGGTGGGCTAGTTGGGAGGGCAGTCGGATTTCCCGTCATGACCAATGCAATCCTGACTACTTTTAGGGTATGGCCCAACCACTCACATTCATTGTGGAATGTCACTATAAAACCACAATTTAGACAAGCAAAAACAAACTATCCCTGCTGTCACGTTAAGAACCAAAACAAGGCAGCAGACGAGGGAACCAGTAGGCATTCATACCAGTTTGTTTAATTTACAGACATGGCAACTGTGGGCATTTTCAACTCACCTCCTTCTTGGGTCTGCCCCTGCGTTTGCCCCCTGCAGACGCAGCTGCTGGTGCTTTCTGTGAACAAAAACAACTAAAAAGGTCAATATAGCTTTAAGAGGGTCTTGCTGTTTAGAGATGATTTTCATTCTCAGCGACGTGCTGGGGATCTGTCGTCCATTTGCAGATTAGCCTGTAGATGGCAGCCGTACTTCTGCAACAAGACCGATCGAAAGGGGGCACTGGGTTCATTGGCTATTATCTGGACGGCCGACAGGAACTGCACACGGGGCACTCCAGTTCGCTGGCCACCTGGTCCGAGGCTCAGAGACAGCTGGTGAAATCGAGTGGAGACAAACCCTACAGCTTGGCCCGCACTTCTAAACCTATACCGGTGCTTCCTAAACTCCCTTATTCACTCCATCTCCCATACGTAACAGCAAATGGCGCGCACACACAGGGGAGCTAAAGGGTTGGGGAGAGGAAGAAAAAGCAGTTGTTGCTATGGAGACGACAGGCAGAGAGAAGAAGTAGGGCTGTGTGCTGGTTGGGGGCGGAGGGGTGCTTAGTGTCAGCCTGGAAACAGTCTTGCGGCCTCTGCACCTGCACCACACAGTGCATGACAAGCTGCAGGAAGCTGGAGGACAGGAAGTACAGGGTAAATATCAGGCCCCCCCTTCCACCCCCAAATAAAGCAGTTAACCAAGATTTATTGGTATTGATAATCACTTTGCCGCCCCCAATAGGGAGTCATGGCCGGGCTATTTGTGGCACCTTGAACTGCAGCCAATAAACATATCAACAGCAGAGGATGAGGTTAGCTGCTGCAAACTACGGGAATATAAGTTTCAAACAAGACGAGCAATGACTTACCTTGCCCTTGCCAGCAGTCTTGTTTTTGCTGCCCTTTGGTCGCCCTCTGGGCCTCTTTGGAGTTGGTGACCCACTTGGCTCCTGGATATCAAACAGGTTATAGTTAATATCAAGAATGTTTTAATAGATGCCCAAAAAGGCTAAATTTTAGTGCACATCAAAACAATTGAAATCAAAACAAAAACTGACTGAGCAATCTGGCTGAACCGTAAACATCAGAGGGGACTGCCATAACATCTGAAAGTTCAGCAAATTCATGCACAACTCGTGGTTTAAACCGGCGTCATGGCCCACTCGTCTTCTGTTGCTCGTCTGATGTGTTGATCACCACAGCTCTTAGCAACCCAGCAACTCAATAGTAATACACAGCAGGCCAAGTGACATCTATGTGATCCACTCTGGGCCACAACTCTCCTATGTAATGCAGAAGAGGATGAGGGGGAGGTTAAAACCAGTTTAAAGGTGTTAGGTTACTGGTTGCTTACAAACTGGTGAGACATGCTGGGAATTTGCTGTACACCTCAGCAGTGGAAAAGCAGGGGGCAAATGGCCACAAGGCCATGCTCCTGCAGTCTGGGCTATTTTATTCTGGTCTCAAGACTCTGATATGCACAAACCTGCATGTGCGTCTAACTGAGCCTCAGCGATCACAAGAGGACCTGAGGCTCAGCACCACACCGGCCTGGTTCTGCATGCATTTAAGATCAAGTTTATTCCCATGGCATGCAAAAAAATAAAATAAAAATAATAATAATAATAAAACGACGGGGTGGTAGAAAATCAGCTAGTATACCAGAATAAATAGACACTACTTACGTCAGAGGTTTTCACCTCGAGCGATTTGCGGGGTCTTCCACGCCCTCTCTTCTCTGCCGCCTCCTTCTCTTTCGGTGAGACTGTCCCCTTGTCGCTCATATTTGCTCTTCCAACCTGAATGGATGATGATGATAATGATGATTTAAATAAACCCTACCGGCCGGCCTTGATGCTGCAAGAGGCGTCGAGTTCACACAGAAAACTGAGCACAGCGTGTACCCGTGAGCCACTAAACCCACTGACCGCAACAACAAACCAAAGATGACCGACCGCACCACGCACGGTTTAACCCAATTAATCCGCGCTGGTTTCCAGGTCTATTTCCGTCTCGTCTGCGCTCTGCGACACAAGAGGTTTACGCAGAAAACCGATCACAGCAGGCTTAACCTGCAAAAGACCACAAAACCAGCCAATTCCCTCCGGTACCGACCGCGCTTATAGGCCCCGCAGGAGCCCAAAGACCAGGCCTGCGCACGGAACCATCTCAGAGCAGCGTGTCTGCACGCCTGGGCCGCGGAGAGATCCACCGACACTCACACGCCACAATGGCCGCGGCTCGTTTCTGGTTGCAGGCAACAAGCTTTGAGCTGAATGGCTTTTTAAAAATTCATTGGCGGAGGGGAGAGCAGCAACCGAGGTCTCCGTGTAGCGGAGCGAGCCCGGACCGAAGCAACAAAAGACGGCTGACAACGTGCCGCCGTTTCCCGCCGGAGCTCCGGGCTGTTTGTAAAACCGGTGGTCGCATCCCCACTCACCTTTGTCACGGTGCTATCGCCTCCGTGCTAAACTCAGGTAGACTTGTTTCCGTTTGAAGCCCGGCTGGTGCGTACCCGGTGATCTAAAGCTGATCTATAGGCTACAGCTTTTATTCGTCAGACAGCCCGCCCATTTAAAAAGCCCAGCTCACGCGCCTTAAAAACACACACAAACCCATTTAAATAAGCGAAAAGCTGAACTTTCTGCATTTTTGTACATGAAACATATTTATTTTTACCAGCACGGTGAGAAGTTTAATCCAAAGGTTTCCCTCGGTAGAGCACGTGCGTCTCGCGCAGATAAAGGAATGAAAGGCGCCGGAGTCGGACAGGAGGAGTTTTTGGACAATTTAAAGAACCGCCCTCAGGAGAGCGGGAACACTGGAGGGCGGGGATATGATAACGAGGGCCACCAACAGAACCAGAACAGCCCAACCTCCACTCAGCACCGCCGGTGTTCCGACTATCCGTGCTCCCCGTCGAAATATTATACTTTGGGGAAATGCGCAGCGCCTGCGCAGGCCGATTATTGCGTCACAGGGTGTTTACAAGTCGAGACGCGCTACCTGTGGAAGTTTACGTTTAATCTCGTCACTTATCTAGTTACTTTCAACTCGTCGAAGGTCACAGTACGTATTTCTTTAAGTTGTTATATAAAATTATTGCTTACTGTATGTTTACCGGACAGCTTGTGAATGGCTTCTAAAATATCGTTATTATAATGTAAACAAGACATTTCTCCCATTGTTTACATTCATTCTGAAAGAGTCCCAAATTAATATCCAAAAGTTTTATATTATACATATAATAAATTTATCATAGTTGTATAATAATCTCCAAAATTATACATTCAAACAAATAACTAAGTATTGGGGGGAAAGCAAAGTGGGTTAATTTGTCTAATAAAGGATTATAGAATGATAAGAGCTAACGTCTTACAAATCTCCATTTTTATGAATCACTTTCTTGACATGGGTGAAAGTAGTTGGTAAATCGTCATTGTTTTAGCATCTAAGGGGTTTTACGAAATGACTAAATTGCTTACAATCCACTTTTTTCATAAAATAAAATTAACCTACATTGTGTCATAGCCTCCACTGTCATGGCGCTTGAACTATGATGACGTCCCCCAATGTAAACAATCCCTTTGCTCATGTTTAAATAACGAGACTAAAAAGTAATTTAATTTATACATATTATTTAAATATATTAATAATATTATTTTGTACAAAACCCAAACGGAAACAATGCATGTGGAGCTAATTTTAATCTAATTTTCTTTTATTTGTTGTGCATTAAAGAAAAAACAATTATGTTTCATTTAAAATTCAAATGACATTTTTGAGCAGCTATTTCAGAATTATATTTGAATCTTAATTATATTGAGGAGTTTTTTTTTCTTTATGTTGATTTTCCTTTCTTTTTTTTTAATTATGCTAATCTTTAAAACATATTTGTGTATTCATTTTGTATGAAACCCTAAGAGAAACAGTAAATGTGGAGCTAATTTTAATCTACTAGCCGAAGTTTAGTTTGAATGAAATTAAATCGTAAACTCCCTATGAAGCATCGCTGATTTTCTCAAAGAATTTTACTGTTCTGTTAACATCGGTGCTCATCTACATGTGCAGACATGGTCCCTAAATTATTCTTGTATTAGGCAACAAGTAATATGAAAAGTTTAACATAGATTTTTATTAAACATTTTATGAGTCATTTGAAATAAAAATTGTACTTTTTTGCTGCTATTTCAGAATTATATTTGAATCTTAACTATAATTAGCAAGGTTTTTCTTCATTATGGTTTTCTTTCTTCTTTTTTTAACCTAAAACTAATCTTTAAAAAAACCTCGTACTTCTGGGAGGTACATCAAAAGCTGGAAGGTGATTTACTCATTGATGTTGTTCACAAGCAAAACAAACTTTAATGAATAAATCTGAAGAAAATATTCAATGCAGACATGTGACTCAACGTCTTTTGGGAAGACTCAAGGTAAATAAACAGAGTTGTAAAGCAGCAGCCTAGTAATTCAGTAAAAAAGTCGCAGCCCCTAGACGAAATAACTGTGGTGGAGGAGAAAAATAAACCCATCTTTTATTCATAAACCTCTAACTTATGAGGATGTCTGGGACATCGTATCATTTTGGGGAAGACATCGCTCACTCATGTCAGTTTACATGGACTGGCTGCAAGCTAAAACAGCTGGTGAGTCCATCTTTGTAAGGGCAGGGATGATTTGCAAGAGTTGTTGCTCCTAATGCAAATCAAGGCGTCTTTGAAAGAAACAAGAGCGTAAAGGATTAAGGATTATTTATTTTATGTATAGTGATGAAAGCCTCTCATATGCTTCTCATTTCATTGCAAATTCCGTTCTTGTTTAAAATGTGACTGAAAAACCAACAGAAAAAAATATATATATATTAGGGCAGGGCAATGTGGCCAAAAATATTTATCATGATATATATATATGAAAATTTGCTATAACGATATAACTGACGATATGACTGATGTGAGACAAAGTACTTTACAAATTAACAACTTTATTAGTGCAAAGAACTCACCAATATATTTGCACTTAAACAGCAGTTGTTATGTGCATCAAAACTACACAAAATGTTTGTGCAAATGGGCTGAATATCCTCCTGAGCATAACCATGTGTAATATCTAATAACTAGGAGTTGCTTTGCAACATGAAACTCAAACTCTTGAGTAAAAAACACAATAAAAAAAACATGGATAAAGTGCCCTTTTCAAGTTTTAAGACTTTTTTTGTCAGAAACACCAACATGTTCACAGGTGCGGGCTTAGGGGACGATCGTAGACAAGTTACAACGTTTCCACCTGTACTGAACAACCTTTCAGATGCAGAGCTATAGTTGCTGGAATTCAGAGGTACTTCCTATAGCTAATCTGCTGATGTTGGGAAAGTTTACCGTGTGAACTTTCCACCACAAAAGAGGATCACACTCACTGTCTGCTGGTGGACTATTCACATAACAGCTCAGTTTAGATAATAACCTTTCTGCAGTCACATCTGTCTTGCCACTAACAGGTCCCTTCAAAAAGCTCCTGAGACTCTTTTTTTTTGGCTTTTTAGCAGCTCCCTGAATTGTTTGGTCTCCAGCAGATGTGGGAAGTGTTTCTGAAACACCTGTGGCTGTGCTACCCTGGTGTGACACAAGATGCTCTAGCTCACTCATGACCTGAACTTTGATGGCTTCGCTCTCACTCTCACTGAAATATTCTGTGCGAAAACATTGGATCAAGTAGAGAAGCCATCTTAATAAGCCTCTCTGTGATGGTTTCTTTGTAGCTTCTGTTCATGTAGTCAAGTATTGCTGTTTTGATGTCTTTGGTCAGCTGATTGTCACTCTCTTTTACTTTTAACAGGTCGTTGTTAAACATCTGAAGAACAGGCTTAACACATGAAATGGTCACATACTCTTCAGCAGAAAAAGCATCTGTAAACTCTAGAAGTGGACTCAATGCAGCGCTGACTGAGTCAAGCACCTGAATGTCAACATGAGGTGCCTTGTGGTTTTATCAGCGTCTAAAACCTGTGTTATAGCCTTTTCTTGTTCCAGCAGTTGCTGGATCATTCTCTGCTTTGAGCCCCAACGAGTGCAACATTCAGTTATGAGTTTGTGTTCTGGTAGGCCCAGTTCTTTTTGGGCAGCCTGCAGAGCACGCTGGCGCTTCCAGCTGTGGCCAAAGGCACCAACAATCTTCTTTCCCACTCCAACTGCTCGATCAATCCTTTGGTCCTTCACACTTCTTTCTAAAAAAGACAAATTTAAAGGAAAACAGTTAATTGCTCAACACCAATATTAATGCAGTGTGGAATGTGTGACATTGTAATTAATGATATAAACATTACTATCATTTAAACTAATGCAAGAAATGCTTAAGCTGACATTCTAATCAATTTACCTATGGCAATGTGCAGGCGATGTCCGAAGCATGAAAGTCTGGTCCAGTTGTTGAGTGCGACCGCCTTCACAACTTTGGCCCAGCTGTCTGTCGCCACACACACCTGTTTTTCCTCCTGAAGATTCCACGAGCTGAGGAACTCGTTTAGGCCTTTGGCTATATTTTCCCCGGTATGGTCTTCGGGGAAAAAACTTGTTTCAAGGCACTTGTTTCTTAGCTTCCAGTCCTTGTCCACATAGTGTATTGTGAGGCTCGTGCAGGGGTCTGATGTTCGGCTGGACCACATGTCCATGGTGGACGCAAAAACTCCACAGACGATAATGCATTTGACACCTCAGTACGAACCTCTTCATATAAAGCAGGCAAAGCGACTTTAGAGAAGTATTTCTTGGTGGGCAGCTTGTAGCGTGACTCAAAC